TAATCCCTGCCAATTGATCACTGTAGTCAGTGATCAATTGGCAGGGAAGGGGTTAATTTTTTATTAAAATGGGTAAGGGGGGGGGACACTTTAAATTAACTTTATTTTTTTTACAGCAGGGGGCAGGATCAGCACTGATCCGGCTCCCTGCACTTCACACAGAACCCGGAAGTGCAGGGAGCCGGTAGGTAAGTATTCAGAGCACATGTGCTCGCTCCGACTTGTGGTCAGAGCGAGCACATGTGCTGGGCAGCTTGACCGGGTGCTCCCGGTATGCCTCCAATGAAGAGGCATACCGGGAGCACCATTAACGACGAGGTCCGTCACCCGTCGTTAAGGGTCTCCCCTGTGTGACGGACCTCGTCCGTCACCCGTCCTGAAGGGGTTAAAAAACAGAAATGGCATACAGCAGTGCTCCCAGCTGCTTCCTTCCCACAATCCCGAGGGCTCTCTGACTGTGGGTACTATTTTACATTCCCCACAGGATCTCCCTCACCCCCCCAGGGATTAATTTTAACCCCTCACAGACAGCAATTGGCAACAGGGATCCTGGGAGTTGTAAAACTAGCCGTATAATAATAAAACAATTTGCATGGCAAGTTTCTGGGACATGTGGTTTGACATAAGAAGTTCAAAACATTTTAGCTCTCTGGTCTGAACTCTGGCCACACTTCCACTCACACCCTTAGAATTAAAGTGTCCTTCTTTGTCCATTTGAAATGTTGGGAGGTATTGAGTTAACCCCATATTGTTTCATGTTACCCAGTGTTTCTGATGCCCTTGTTTAACTACTTGTCCTTTTATTTATGCATGACCTAACCTGACCTCACCATGTGGATTCAAATTATGTTATCAAGTCAAACCTCATATTAACAGTATAAAAAGTCTCAATACAGGAAGTGGGGGCTACCCCTATTAGCATAAAAATAATTTTGTGCCTTAGAGACTTGAAACAGGAAAGAAAAATGTTTTAGTAAAACATTGTTTAATAAATAGTCTGTTGTGTAACACTAATAGAACGTATTTACAAAACAGACATATGTAGCTAAAGAAAGATTACTGTCTGGCAGGTAAGTATGTATTAAAAGTTTTGGAAAGAAAGGTCTCCAATAATACTGAACTCTTATACTGTGCGCTTAAATCATCCCAATATGTAAGATCTAAGCAATATCCAAAACAAACGGATAGGCACATTAGTGCACTAATGAGATTCCTGTTTGCCTGTAACATTTACGATCCCTGATATCTATAATAATTAGCTATAGTCACAGAAATTCTGAAATAATCTACATACAGAGCTCCCTACGTGCAATCCACTAGGCGTCAGTTGGTTTATCAGGGGAAATGTTTTAAATTTTTTATATAGAATCAACATATTCCACATCACTGTACCATAAGTAAATAAATAAAACATTTTATTCTAGGCAAAACATGAATAAGTAGATGAAGAGGACCCTTCCCAAACAAGCTTACCAATTGTCAAATACACTAAGGATAAGAGGGAATCATATGATCTGGATATACCTAACATAAGAGAAAGGTGATTAGGATGAGGAAACACAGAAGATGGGCGACAGCAGAGGAAGATTGCAAGGGATAAGGAGTTAAGGGGATAAATAATAAGCTTCTCTAAAGAAAATTGTTTTTAGGAATTTTTTGAAGGACTGCAGAGACAGGGAGAGTTGTATGTCCCATGGAAGGGTATTCCATAAAGAAGGGGCTACCAGGGTGCTTGATAATTTTGAACCAAATCCTAAATGAAAATGGAAGCCAGTGTACTAACAGAGGGGAGAGGTGTGAGAGTTGATGGACATAAGGTATGTAAATCTGGCAGAGTCATTCATTACGGACGGTAGAAGGGCAATCTCGGTACTTTTCAGACCGACAAGCCTAGGGTTACAATATAGTATCTTTGTTGCGCACTGAGAGAGAAAAGAGCAAACATTAGAAATAATTTGCTGGTGATTTGGTGATAGATTTTAGATAATGGGTAAACATAGAAACATAGAAACATAGAATGTGACGGCAGATAAGAACCATTCGGCCCATCTAGTCTGCCCAATTTTCTAAAAACTTTCATTAGTCCCTAGCCTTATCTTATAGTTAGGATAGCCTTATGCCTATCCCATGCATGCTTAAACTCCTTTACTGTGTTAACCTCTACCACTTCAGCTGGAAGGCTATTCCATGCATCCACTACCCTCTCAGTAAAGTAATACTTCCTGATATTATTTTTAAACCTTTGTCCCTCTAATTTAAGACTATGTCCTCTTGTTGTGGTAGTTTTTCTTCTTTTAAATATAGTCTCCTCCTTTACTGTGTTGATTCCCTTTATATATTTAAATGTTTCTATCATATCCCCCCTGTCTCGTCTTTCCTCCAAGCTATACATGTTAAGATCCTTTAACCTTTCCTGGTAAGTTTTATCCCGCAATCCATGAACCAGTTTAGTAGCCCTTCTCTGAACCCTCTCTAAGGTATCAATATCCTTCTGAAGATACGGTCTCCAGTACTGTGTACAATACTCCAAGTGAGGTCTCACCAGTGTTCTGTACAATGGCATGAGCACTTCCCTCTTTCTACTGCTAATGCCTCTCCCTATACAACCAAGCATTCTGCTAGCATTTCCTGCTGCTCTATTACATTGTCTGCCTACCTTTAAGTCATCAGAAATAATCACCCCTAAATCCCTTTCCTCATATGTTGAGGTTAGGACTCTATCAAATATTCTGTACTCTGCCCTTGGGTTTTTACGTCCAAGATGCATTATCTTGCACTTATCCACATTAAATGTCAGTTGCCACAATTCTGACCATTTTTCTAGTTTACCTAAATCATTTGCCATTTGGCTTATTCCTCCTGGAACATCAACCCTGTTACATATCTTAGTATCATCAGCAAAAAGACATACCTTACCATCAAGACCTTCTGCAATATCACTAATAAAAATATTAAAGAGAATGGGTCCAAGTACAGATCCCTGAGGTACCCCACTGGTGACAAGTCCAAGCTTCGAATATATTCCATTAACTACAACCCTCTGTTGCCTGTCACTCAGCCACTGCCTTACCCATTCAACAATATTTGAATCTAAACTTAAAGATTGCAGTTTATTGATAAGCCTTCTATGTGCAACAGTGTCAAAAGCCTTACTGAAATCTAGGTAAGCAATGTCTACTGCACCACCTGATCTATAATTTTAGTTACCCAATCAAAAAAATCAATAAGATTAGTTTGGCATGATCTCCCTGAAGTAAACCCATGTTGTCTCTGATCTTGAAATCCATGTGTTTTTAGATGTTCATCAATCCTATCCTTTAACATGGTTTCCATCACTTTCCCCACTACTGGAAAGGTCTGTCAGCTTTACAGTATAATCCAGCACGTAGAATTGTGTAACACAGAGGACTGATAGGTAACGTATACTGGACCTTAGAATGGCTGGACTAACGTACCAAAGAATAGTCAGAAATAGCCGAGGTCAAGGGATACAGAAAGAGACACAACGATAAGAAAAAGCAAAGGGGCCAGGAATGCCAGAAAACAGGAAAGTCAAATAACCAGAATAACCAAAATCAATAACGCGCTCTCGGACAACCACAAGGGAAACCATGACAGGGCACTGAGCAGGATGAGAACTGGGCCTAAATACCCAGCCTGTGCATCTAATTGGTTGTAACTGGCCTTTGACCCCAAAGGCAGTTGCCAGATTGCCAGATTTGCAAAATTTGCACAATTGCTGCTCAGCAAAAACCCTCCTATGGATTGATTGCTGCTCAGCACAAACCCTTCTGTGGATTAGGTTGCTGCTCAGCACAACTTTTCCTGTCAGGACAGTAAATGCCATTAATCACATTTTTATGTGCAGGTGAATACATGACAAGGTCACTGTCAAGGAACACACCAAGGCAGCAAGCCTGCGGGCTGCAGGTTTTGATAAATCAGTTGACCTTAAGGGAAGCAGGCATAGTCACAGCCTTAGCTGGAGGAAAGACTTGAAGTTTGATCTTGGAGAGGTTGAGTTTTTAAAATCAGGAAGTCATCCAGTCAGAAACAGAGAATAGACAGTTGATGACGCAACCTAGCAAATGAAGAGAAAGATCAGGCGAAGAGATGTAGATTTGAGTATCGAGCAATCGGGTGATATTGGATGATATCATATCTCAAAGACAGGCAGTGTAAATTGAGAAAAGAAGAAGTTTCAGCACAGAGCTTAAGTAACTCCAACCAACATAGTTTCAGTTAGTAGGTTGGAATCACAGAAAGAAACACAGAAGGAGCGATTAGGTGCTCTTAGGCTTTTCTCCTGACTCTTAATACTTTGGGCCCTGGACTACTCTCTTTTCACAGCTTTTGTTTTTTTGTATATTTTTTCATTTGGTGGCTAGGCTGTTCCATTGTGTGTGTGTTTATATATATGTATATATATAGGGATAGGATAGGAACAAAGAGACTGAGGGTGGGAGGGGTTACCCTCTGTTTTAATTAGTTTCCTGTCTGGTTAGGGATAGGGAGGAGCTACCCATTTTTGTGCTGCCATGGATATGGCCAGGAATAGGACCCTATTTAGCCTTGACTTGCAGAGAGTCCAAGTAAGGAAGTATTTCCCAAGTAATTGGATTAATCACATAAGAGCAAGCATTAGGCTGCTACTAGGATAGGACCTGCCAAATATGGGGTACTTTGACGTAGTTGGCAGGCTTATGCAATGAATGATCATATAATGTAACTAAACCCCATCATTTTTTGCCTAGGTGAGGTGTTTTAAAATAAAACTATTACAATCTCTAAGATTTGAAATCATTGTTTAGTGAATAAGTGAGTGTGCTGGATTCTGTATTTTGTGTGTGTGTATATATATATATATATATATATATATATATATTAAGAGAGGTGCACTCACAGGTCTTTGCAAAGAAAAGTATCGTTTATACACTTAATATAATCCAATTGTCCCAACGTTTCGACCCTTCAGGGTCTTTTTCAAGGTCACAAAAACAGTGCAAAGTGAGCCGTTATATACAAAATAAATAATAACACTTACCAAATCAGGTGTGTGTAGTGCCGTCCCTCGAACCCGGAAGTGTGTTAGGCGGGACACGTGATCACCGAAAAGTGCGTGAATTGCGTAATGACGTGTAGCCCGGTTACTAGGCTACAGGTATAAATATACAGTATATTAAAAACCGTGCCATTTATAAAGTGCAAATGTGATCTAAAAACAAGTAATGGAGGCTTATTAGTCACTGTGTACCAAGATATTAATCCCCATTAATAGAATCGCTGGCTATATCATTATCAGAAAGGTGTACAGTAAAGTGCATGAGTGAAGTGAAATGAACTGGCCGGTTGACTAAGGGATGACTGGTTCTTACAGAACCCATATATATCTAGAGAGATGGGACCAAAGCAGAGTGATTATTACTATATACATATGATTTACAAGTAAAGAGTTATAGAGATTATCTGAATTAATTAATTGTACCAAGATACATAATATATGACATATTGACTTGACATAAATTGAGTATGACCTTTAAATAAAGGTTTGAATAGCAGTAGGAGTAAGGGGAACATAATTAGACACATTTATAAAAACATAGAGTATGATGTATATTCAATGAGTCCTTTTGGAGCAACGTTATCTAGATATTGTATCCAGTAGGTTTCCCTCTGTAAGAGAATTTTAGATCTATCTCCTCCTCTGGATAGAGGAGGTACATGGTCTATAGCTATAAACCGCAAGGCCGGAAGTCTGTGAAGAGCCTTTAAAAAATGTTTTGCTACAGGCTTATCTGTCTGTTGATCCCTGAAGGCGGTGAGAATGCCGGAGTGGTGTCCTCTTCTTCTTTCCCTTAACAATAGATCCGTTTTCCCAACATACGATAATCCACAGGGACATGTGATAAGATAAATTACATGGTCAGTAGTACATGTAATATAATGTGGTATTATGATTCTTTTTCCATTGTGTGGATGTGAGAAAGTTGATCCTGTATACATATGGCTACAAGTTACACACCCGCTATATTTGTAGCATCCTTTTTTCTTATACATTGTTTCCTTTTGATAGCATTGTGTGGGGTCACTACGAACTAAGAAATCATATTTCTTCGGTAACTAATAATAGGTTGATTTTTAAAGATTGTTGGTAGATTCTTGTCTGAGCTTAATATACCCCAGTACTTGTTTATTGATTTACGCGTTTGGGATGTCCCCGTGTGGAATGTGAGTGGTAAAAACATTCTTTGTGTCTGGGTACTATGCACTTGTTCTTTTTGATTTTTATCATGTTCCCATTTACAAACAGCTTTTTGTTTAGCCATTTCTAGACTTTTTTGTTGGTAGCCTCTTTGTATATATATACATACAAACATACCAAGAGAGACATGGGGAAAAAAGTGTGGATGAAAACCCCTTACACCTGAAGTAAGTAGATAGTTAAAACATTGCTTAACACAAATACACACACCAGTCAAGCCATACAATTTGCTTTTCCCACAGAAATCTCACTTTAACAGTGCTCTCACTACTGCAAGGTATTCTGGGTAGGCGTATGCAAATGAGCTCAAGAAAGAACAAAATGTTTGCCTCAATGTGATCCTTTGTTGAGCTAATTTGCATATGCCTACCCAGAATCCCTTGCAGTAGTGAGAGCACTGTTAAAGTGAGTTTTCTGTGGGAAAAGCAAGTCTTATGGCTTGACATTTGTGTGTATTTGTGTTGAGCAATGTATTAACTATATATATAGTATGACACTGTTTAGCATCACATTTGTGTTTTTTTTTATAATGTAACCTTTAAAAGGTATGTTTTAGTAACACCAAGAGTGCGGACCATTTCTACGATTTCTGTATACATGTGACTATGGTCTGGCACCAGGGATTTACAACTACATTGGAATCACCCTCCGTGCAGGGAATATAATTGTTGTGCATCACCTTCATACCTCAAGTTGGACTTTGGGAAGTTCCCTTTAAGCGCAGAAACTCAGAGGAATCATGTTTCCAAAATGATCGCAGAATTCCTTACTTTTCATGGAAATGAGCACAGACAGGCAGCATATTTCAGACTTCATAGTGCATTTCCACAGATACCCTTAGCAAAGGAAACTGTTTTAAGCAGTTTTTTTTTTTTAAACCAAAGCAGCATTGATGGATCTTTGAATTTTTACCAAATGGGTCTTGTCAGCATGGCTCTGGTTCCAGCCTGTAAGTTAAAGTCTCTCAGAGAGCATTTAGTTAGGCACCAAATAATTTGTGATGAGATCAAACATGTTATAACTCCCCACAGTGCAGATAGAAAAAAATCACTGTTGTGGATCACCTGCATATCTCAAGTTGGAAACTAAACTTCAAATTCCAGACCAGAACCGGCTCCCTGCTGAATCTTTACCAATGCTTGTTCCTATCAGCAAGAAATGGACACATAAAACACAACTAATTGCTACATTCTGATTCAGATCATAATGGTAACCAATAATTGAGGTTTCTGTCTACATCTTTGTTGGTCTTTTTAACCTTTTTATGCCAATAATAAGCTATATTGAATTCACATTTACTTAAAAAATGAAAGTAATATATGCTTCTTCATGCAGGCCATTCTATTTAAAGCATTTGAATGATCTTTGAATTCAAGGGATTTTTATGTTTATACCCATTTATCGCACTACCGGTAGAATTGAATTGGAGATGTGGGTGAATTTATTTTCATTTTTTTTTTGCTGATTATACCACTGGCCTATTGTATCAATTATTCCCTAACTCATTGGCTATCATTCATTAAACTCTAATTTCTGCTCATAATTAATAAAAATAGAAATGATTATGGGACTGAATGCCAGCCAGAAATGCCATTTAAAATTCAGTGGACTAATATTAAACAGGCAATTGAATTTGCTGTATGTGCGCAATATGCTTGGCATTGAAAGAGTTATTAGATGATATTATGTTGTGAATTTGAATTAAGGATCTTTAATTGTCCTTGATAAAAAGTTCCAGCTATTTAGGCAACCTTCGGCGCTCCAGTTGTTGTGAAGTACATCTCCCATAATGCTATTACAGCCATAATACTGGCAAAGTATCCACGACATCTGGAGTGCTAAATGTTGCCTACCTCTGGTTTTGAGGTTTAATGGGGCACTGTAATTTCTATAACCATTTAATCTCTTTGAATTGGTTATAGTGCCTGGAGTCCTGAGACACTATCCCTCCATTTAGTGTTAAAACATTTTAGAACGGTTAAAACCAAATAAGGGTCCCTGGTCAATCACAGTCCGTCTCCTTGTGGAGGTGTGGCTAAGGCAGAGGCTACACACTTCCATGTAGTTATATCCTTCATACAATCAGTTGGAGCTTTGATTTTCACTAAAATCTTAATTGTATCCAAATAAAATCCAGACGGTGAGAGCTAAGCAACATAGCCAAATTGTAGCTGTAGCACTGTGTTTAAGAGTCCTAGGTCAGCTATCTTTCCCTAATTTTTTTTTTGCTACAATCAGATTTTAGTGAGTATGCATGACAGTCTATAACCCTTGTGATGCAACCCAAAAAAGAACAACATGAAGCATAGGTAACCAATATTTATTGTTGGGGCTGTTGTAAATATACAACTTCCTTGATTGTTTGCAAGTCAAGTTCTTCAATCAAAAAAACAACACAGGTCTACCAAAAACTCAAAATAAGCAAACAAACAAACAAAAATAAAATAAATAAACCTAGGAAAGTGTTTATTTTGCCTTAACTTGAACACTGACAAATATACTAGAAATTATGGTTTTGGAAAATACACAATATAAAATAAAATGCTTAATTAAAAAAGGATACTTGATTTTGTACATTCTTTAAATATCCCGTTTGTCTCCATGTACAGATTCTTGCTAAGAATGTACTTAAAATTCACAATTGCACCATTACGACTTGACTTTTTCCTTTAAAATACTTATTCTTTCCAGGATAAAAATATAGTAAGGAAAATACCAAGAATTGCAAGCACAATATCAGAATTTATTAGAATTGGCAAGGGAAGCACAAACCGAATCATTTCTTAATCCGCCTATTCCATAACTCAGCAGTTTATATTTCAACAAGACCATCGACAATAATAAATTATAAACTAACTCACATTGCACAAATACTTACAGCTACTAGTCTGGCTGCTTGACGAGATACAAAACAAAGTATATTTCAATTTAAAGGGAAACCTCAGGCTTAGAATTAGCTTGTTCGATATGTATATATAGAAGCAGAAAGCTAGAGAGAGAGAGAAAGAGAGAGAGATAATGCATAGTGATACAGGATTATAATGTCATTGAGAGGTTGAGCACACAAAAATAAAAGAAAATTAGTCCAATTAAAAAAGATATATTAGTGAATCTTTTGTTCAGTTTTGGTTGTGCAAAAATATCATAAATTATATTTCCTCCTATAAGTTTAGAGGTAGTGTAAGAGAGTAGTGTAGAGGTTAAGTGTCGGGGTAGTGTAAGTGTTAGGGTAGTGTAGGAGTTCAGTAGATAGTGTAGTTGTGAAAGCTTAGCATTTGTAAGTGTTAGAGTAGTGTAAGATTAAGAGTTAGAAGCACAGAAGTTTAGGATAAATAGTGTTAGGGCAGTATAGAAGTTAAAGACAACTGTGATCACATTTTCATTTCATTTTTTTCTTACATTTCTTACATTTAATGAAACTTAATGATTTTTTTTTTTAATTACGCATATTGATTTTTTTTTTTTAGGAATGTTTACTTTTTTTATCTTGCTGAGCAGCCATGTTGGGGTACTTTTATTTGACCAACTGCTGCTCAACCTAGCTTGCCTGCTGATGGATTGCTCTGTGTGAAACAAGAGCAGCAAAGTTAGGTCGAGTTGGTCAGATAACAGTAGCATCTGACCCAACACGCCTGTGCAACCAGTTAAATAGTGAAATTTTCTATAAAATAAAAACACATAAAAATAAAACAGTATATATATATTAAACATAAAATCATTACGTTTCAGTAAATGTAATAAACTTTGATTAATCTACTACTCTAACACTTCTCTAATGTGAACCTTTACTGCAATATTACCCTTACAATAATACCAATACCAATTTTCACACATATACCACACAAAGAGTCAATCTTTAATATTTAGTGTAGCGTTGTCTTTTCTTTAAAGACTGCACTGGGATACACAGATGTTTTCAAATTTCTTTAGTTATAAAACTCTTTCTATAGGGAGAATTGTACAGGTGGCT